CCATAAGCGTGGATAGAGGAGACAGGCGAAACGACGAGTAAGTAACGTCTTGGCGGCTGCGTTACCAACCGCACAATAAATTCCTTCAAACGTAATCCGCGACACACAAGCCTCTCCACCGTACTATATTCACTTCTCAAGGTGAATGATGCAAATGCCAATGCGGTCGACGGTCTCTTTCAGCGGCGTGCGCGGCTCGTTGCATCCGTTCACTTCTCCCCGCTCCCCGTGAACCCAATAAACAAACGACAAACACTATTTTTATCTAATCGACTCACCCAGACGAGAAGACATCGCATCTCGATCGTCGTCGCCGCCGTCGTAGCGCTACGGCGCCAATTACCACAATTCGCGCGCACAAATTTCCAAATTTCGACCCACCCTTTCCCTCCTCCGTCACGAAGCTCTCGAGAGTCGCGACACCGGCCTTAAGCCGACTCCTCGCTCGCTTCTGCGCGCGTGGTCGAAAGCGCGGGCCGTAATAACCGACCCGTTTCCATTGCAAAACGTCGAGAAAGCTGTCTGTCTGTTGCGTTTCCACCAAGTTCGCTCCAATCTCCCTATCGCGGACAATTTAAGGAGGGCGAAATCTCTCATCGCACGCGTTTCACCTGCCCTCCTCGTAAAAACCGCGCTTTACGATTTCTCGAAACTGGCCGACCTTCCCCTCCTCCACGGATGGTGCAACGTGCACCAAGGACACGAACGAAACAGGGGGATGGTAACGATCCCTCGTGATCTGTGGCTGTGGCAATTTCAGGCTGCTACAGGTGCGCCCTTCGACGGCTGTTTGAGAATTGCCTCTTCCCCGCGTGTAAATGGATATTTCTCGGGTGTACGACTCGATTTGACGAGCGAAGGGTAAGCTCGTTTAAGGGAATTCATTTGAAATCGTGTTAAAAGAGAATCGAAGGGGGAAAAATTGGTTTAGACACGATCGAGCACCACGCGTTTTCTATTCGAAGAACTCTCTCTCTCTCTCTCTCTCTGTCTCTCCGCGTGGCCAAAACCGTGCGCCGCGCTATAAACTTCCTGAGGCAAGGAGCTTAAAATAACCACGCGGAGAGGAATAAGTAGCGGAAAGGGCGAGCCGGATCGTTCTTGTACTTCGATTAAAGGATCCCCTCTCCTCTCTTCGCCTGTGAAGAGAAATTGGCAGCGTTGGATTATTATTTGCCTCTGCACGCAGGATCCGAGCTTTTTCCTCTCCTTAGAAATTCGTTTCTTATCTCATTTTTATTTTCGAAAACGATTCTGCCTTCTTTCCCTTCCCTTCTCCTTTCCAAAACTCGTTCCACGATCGATCGTTAACAAAGACACTACACGAGAATTCCGTGATTCAGGTTCGTTCAACTTTGGCCACGGACACCGCCGTCTCTCTCTCTCTCTCGATGGACCGTGGAGGAGAGACCCACGAAAGCCGAAAAAATTCCACAGAGACGCCTGCAGTTCAATTTGTTCGCGGTTCACGCTTCGTTATTGGCTTTAAATCACGAACGGCAGTTTCGATCTGCGGGTGGTACCAACTTCTGTAAACAGGTTTGCCTCCCCGATCCGCGTGCTCCGCGCCCCGGCCCCGGCGCGACGCGCCAAGGCAAATTGAATTTTCTGCTAAAACAAAAGTCGACGCGAAGGTGTAAATTTTCTTGCCTCCACCACCAACTCTGAGACGAATCGGTGAGGAGTGGAGATCCGAAATCGTCCAACGAGTCCAGCGATCGATTAATCGAGTTTAACTCGAATGTATTCCATCCACTTTCACTTATATATATATACACGCATATCTTCATTCGCGTAGGTATTAAAGCGTATGTAAATCCTTTCTTTAGTTACATAAATTTCGTTGCAGCGTTGTCCGGCTGGGAATATCGATCGATAAAGCTAGCTCTGTTTACAATGATTGATTTTTTACCCTCCGTTTATCGAGGCCGCATCTACAACCATTCATTCGTTTCCATCCATCTCTCGTGTAAACACGCGAGATTTTTTCCCCCTGCCTCTCAATAATATTAAGAATCTCCACTCGTTGAAAAGATAGCGATTATTGGTGAAATACATTACCATTGAAAAGCGTTCGAATTATCGTATTTCTACAAAATTCTTCCTTCGTTCCAGAATTACTCGACGATATTACACGATAACAAACGTTTCTCCTCGTTCTTTCTTACATTATAATCGATAAAATTCGGTGGAGGGAACAAGGATACTCTTGAGGGGCAGTGTACAAACGCGCACCATGTTCAATCTCGTACATTTACTATTACTATTATTACGGGGATATCAACGAGCGTGCACAGCTGTCAAGCACGGATTATCTCCCATCCGAGCACCCGTGTCACGTGGCCAGAGAGTCCCATACCCGGCATGTGTCCCACACCACGGACGTGACCCACTTGATCCTGTCCATAACCCGTGTCCACAGTAGTGGCGGTAGCCGTCGATCCGTCGATCGATCGATCGATTAATAAATATATATATATATACATACATATGTACACACACGCTCTCGAGCATTATCACGACTATTAGCCACGAAGGCACGAGAAGTGTGCATTCCCAACGGTTCGAGCCGCCGCTAGAATTACGGCCGACATTGTCCCAGATTCTCGAACGGTGGCATACGGCCACGGATTCCCTTCTCCCGACCCGGGTTCAGCAACAATACGATTTACGTCCGTACACGGAGAGAGAGAGATGGTTTTTCGCGTGGTAAGTCAACGGTTAACGAGGCGTGAACGCGCCGCTGAATTACGATTGTTTTCCATTTAGAAACGCGAAACACCGGTGACAACCGGTTGCGTGGTATCGGCTCGCAATAATGGTTGCAGCTTCGAGGAGCACATATATAAAATGGGTATATAGATGCTTTAGACACCGATCGACTAATGCATGCCGTTCCATCCGTCGATGACGAACGAAGAGAATAACGTTCGGTTCACACACACACACATTCTGGAGCGTACGTTGTTGTTACGTGATGCTAATTTTTCATCGTACGTTGAATTATTAAACCAGGGATATAGCGGGCGAAAGGGCGCGAACGAGCCGCCCCTCCGCCCCCTCCGCGGCCGAGATTAAAGAAGTCGGGAAAGATCGGGCGAAGAAGGGAATCGGGGAGCGCGCGAAATTGAAACCCGTATTAACCCCGGCGCCCTGCCCACCACCGCTCCCCCTTATAAATATTCCGTGTAACGATGCCTCGCGCTAGATTGATTTCCCAATTAAATGTAAATGAACGAGTCGAAGCTTGCTAGGGACGGCCCTGGAACGAGTTTTATAATGTCCAGTGAAAATGGTCGAGAGCCACGATCGTGGCCGGTCAATAAATTAATTATTCCGTCCGGGGGGAGGGAAGCCTCTTCGACACTTACTCATGGATTCTCTCCTTCGTTTTATTATTTATTCATTATATTTGGCTCGTGACAATATCTTTCCAAACGCTCCTCTTCCCGGATGAAACTAACGATCCCTTTCTTTTCTTTTCGCGAAACGAGATTGAGAGTTTCTCTTTCTTATGGGGGAGGGATTAATCACGCGTGGTCAATCGAGGCGTCCAGGCGTTGGGAACGATCTGTTTGCCGAGAGATTGTTATTTACAAAGAAGAAGTCACCGGGATGATCGTGTTTCGTCGAGGATGGCGATCGCAAACATTTCGGCTTCCGTTTTCAGGGTGGTTAGCCCTGGCCATCCTCTGGATATTCTTCACCGGGGCCCCACCCCCGGGGGTATTTATTCTGGCTCATTTGTCCCTCGGGAACCGCCGCGTCATTCCAGGCAGGGAGGCCACCTTTTTTTTTTTTGCCCTTTCTTTCTTTCTTTCTTTCTTTCCTTTTCTTCACTCGCTGGTATTTCCAAGGTCTCAGGTGTTAACTAAAAACCTGGTGCAGTGGACCGACTTAAACGACGCGAGACGCGTTTGGATTGGATCCGTTCATCCACGAAATTCCAACGCGAGCCGTAGGAGAGAATAAAAGGTTTTCTCCCCTCGAAGGGGAGGGAAGTCAGGGAAAATTCTTCCTCAAAGCTGGATTACCACGTCCTTTGACAGGACGACTTGTGTGCAGAATCCATTAGTGAATATTTTTAAAATATTGTCACAAACGATTTCTGGATATCAATCATTTTCAGAGAGAAGTTATTTATTTATAAAATTCACCGTGTCACCGTGTAAAATCCAATTTTTCATCCCGATCTTAATTTCGAAATTATTGTAAGAGTATGCTGCTCGAAAGATACTGTGATCCGTGAAAATTTCGGATAGAGAAGAAAAGAACGATCATTTTCACACACGCACCAACTTGCATCTTCATTTCTAAAATCATCCTTTAAATTTCCTGCCTACCTAACCTACCTATCTACTTCGTTTCAACATCCTACATACACAGGTATACATTTTGCATAGTCGAGACGCCGCCTCATCTCCATTTTTCTTTTTTCCTTTTCCTTTTCCTTTTTCTTTTTTTATCTTTCGTATAATCGTACCTCTCCTCCTCCGCTCGTTCTAACGCCCGACTGCCACTAGTCAAAGACGCACCGAGAGTAAATCCGGAGAGAGGAGGTCGCGAAAGAAGGAGAGATCGAGAAACTCGTTCAAAAGTAATAGCCGGGTCGTTTCAGCTAGATGAACGATCCAAGGCAGGAGGGATCGCGCGTAAGACTTGCGTAATATCGCCGAACGAGAGATTCCTGAAATCTCAGGCTCCGATTACGCGAAATAAATTTCTCGCGGCCCGGTATTCTCGGCGACGTCGAATTGCTGCTGCTCCTCCTCGTAATGAACGATTCGAACCGGCAAAAATAACTCGTGGCTGGCCGAAAACGACGGGCGTTTAGAAAAAGCTTTGGAACGGCCAACTTTCTTCCTCTTTCTCTTTCGATATCCAACAGCCTCCACGAATTTAAATTCTCTTCTTCCGTGCGACACGTTCGCGAAACACAATTTTATTTAGAAACGAAATAGATCGAAACTCGATCGAAAGAGGTGCGTCAATTTTATTACGCGAACGAATAAGTTTGGACGATTCGAAGGGGCCAATTTTCGGCGGGAGATTCGTATCTGCGCATCTTGCAAATGTTCCCACGTTAAACCAACAGACAGGACAACAATTAGCAGGGTTCCAGGGACAAGGGGCTAGAACGAGAGAGAGAGAGGAGGGCAAGAGCGTGCGTAATGGAGTCGCGTATCGCGCGGCCATCTTGGCATTAACGGCCACGTGGTATTATCCCTTGAAAAAGGACAATCCCCGTGGTTTCTCTCGTGTATATACCCCTTGTATATATATATATATATATAAAGAGAGAGAGAGGAGAGAAGGTTTGGTCAGGTACTTAAACACAAAAGTACTTAACCAAGAACATCGAAACTAATGGCGCCTTCGCACCAGGTAAAATTTTGCGGTCGTAGGAGGGTGAAGGAGGTTGCCCGTTTTCTATCTCGTGTTCCATCATCCGTGGATGGAACCACAATTCAAAAGATTACGACCTTCGGAACGGAATTCTTTCTATAATTTTTTCCCTTTTCTTTTACTCGTTCCTTTTTTTTCTTTCCTTCTCCTTCTTCTTCTTCTTCCTCCTTCTTCGGCTTACGTATAACGAGGCCAGGGATGGAACACGAAATTCCTTGGATCCCAAAGGAATATATATATATATATATATAGGTGTCTAAATGACTCCTCGAAAACCCAATCGAGCAGCATGACGAGATAATAATACGCGTAAGATCAACCTCGAAGACGAATGTTTTCTTCTGTTTCTCGCGAGCTTCGTCATCCTCGGCTGTTCAACGAACCAATCAACGGGCAGAATTGTCCCGTTTCTGGTTAACGCGTTTCTGAAAACTGCTTTAACGATCAATTGAACGATCACTCTATTCTCTCCGTCTCCGGGAATCTCATCAAAGATTCCAGACCAAAGATGAAAGAAGAAGAAGAAGAAGAAGAAAAATATCCGCAATGAAAAAAACGTGTTCCCACGAATTGAATGCCGCCAGGAAAAATACTATTCCAGACAACCCTATTACCCATCGAACGAAACAAGAGATCCAAGAAAAGAGGAGAAAAGCGCGGAAAAAGCCGGACAAAGGGGACAAACGTAATTCGACAGATCAAGATATAGTCCGTGGTTCGGATCTAAATCGCAGGATCACCGTGGCCAACGCAGAAGGAAAGAACTCCTCACGAACGAAGAGAGAGGAAGTTAAGGATTCTCGGGCAAAATCTCGGGGACGGTCGCCTCCTCCGTTCCTCCTTCTTTGAGGAGAGAGAGAGAGAGAGAGAGACGTCTCTAGGAAACGAGGCTGCCTAATACGGCGAAGAAAAGCCGCCTCTCCCCCCTTCCCACGGGCTAGTAGCAGTAGACTGGACTGATTGGCAAACAATTAGCAGGGAGGACGGTGTTCACGGTGCGCGCGAGAAGGGCACGGCGAAAGTACACCAGGCGTGTATCGCGCCGGGCATCTTTGCGTCCGTGAACGTCCTGCGTGTGTGGAACCGGGGAGGGAACCTCTCTCACACCCCCTCCTTTTCTGCCGCTCGTGTCTCGAAACAATGAGAACAATGCCGTTGGTCTTCCGCCGGAGCGGACAGACAAAGCCCGGTTCCACGACAAAACCGTCGTCACCATCGTCACCATCCTCTCTCTCTCTCTCTCTCTCTCTCTCTCTCTCTCTCTCGTCGT